CGCAATAGCAAACGGTTTGACTGACCCTAGAAAGCTCCTTCGAGTTGCCTAGATAGCTGTTGCTGGGTTTGTCAAAATACATTAACTTGAACACGGAGACATTTGCAGGGCAATATGCAACTAGCAATCCAGGTGAGCACGTTATCAAGGGCTCGGCATGACTCCGAGGAAAAAACCGTCATTGCCGAAAGGTTGTCTTCACCCAGATTCCCACTGCCTCCATTTAGATGCTCGTATCGTGTTTCCATTCTCCACAGTGATTGCTAGTTGGAATCCCTGGGCCTAGTGAACCCTTAAGTCTTTAGGATATCTTTTCTGGCTTGCAATTTTCGGTAGGGTGGGCCGTCCCTTTTGTAATAGCGGCACTACGCCGTCTCACATTCCTCCAGACGTCCTGATGATCCCATAGGTACATCATAATGTCTTCTCACCAGAAGAAACAAGCCACACCCACTGTCAGGCCCTTGCCTAAATAAACTCTTGCTAAGTCGACAGCGAGTGCTGTATTTTGCTCAGCATTCTCTCACTTTACTGCATACAACTATATGCACTGCAACCATGCTTGCACGGCTACCTCTGCAAACATAGCGAGGGTGCCTGCACAGGCTTTCTAAGATAGCGAAACAGTTCCTATGTGAGCGCATAGGCATCAACCCTCTCACACGCCACATGTCGGGTAAAGCTCAAGGCAAACTGAAAACTTAAACAACAACGTTTGGCAATGCGACCTTGAAAGCCCTTTATCGATTCATGGCACAGTAACAGATAGTAACAGCAACCCATACAGTCTGGCTTCTACAATGCCAATGGCCAACAACAGCCGCTGCTCTTCAAAAGCTTGTCAGAGCCACGTTCAGCAACATGTGGGTTTGCCTCAGTACAAGAGAACCCCTCACAATTAGCAGTTTTTCGCTGTTTTACTTTCAAGCAACCAGAACCGTCAAAAAAGAGTGACCGCCCAAAGACAGAAACGTGCGGACCGCAGACCCCGTGACTTTTGCGCGTCCGCGTGGCCTCACCAGCTTCCAACCGCCGGAGAGGAAGGACAAAGAGAGGCCCACGATGCTGATCAACAGCCAGGAGGCCTTGGGTAGTTCTTCCTGTTGAGGCTTCCCTTCACTCACCACCTTCGGCTCCCACAAAATATGAATTGCTAAAGACCCCTTTTTGGGAGGTGACGGGGGTTGGGTAGTGGTTCCTATTGAGGCGCAGGTCAACACCCTTTCTCAGGTTGTTGTCAGGGGAAGACACGATGAGTCAAATCGACATGGGTGCCGCTTTTTGAGGCTCCCCGAAACCTCTGGAAACCAAAGGGACACCGACATCCCCGTTGGGAGTTCCTATCCACAGGCACATGCACAAAACGGTCTTGGGGAATGGAGGTCAAGCTCCTCTTCAGGCGATTTGCTTCTTTTCAAATCGAGCATTTGCTCATGCACGTTCCGAGGTGTCTTGGCCAACGCTTTCCTGCATTGGGTCAATTCCAGATTGTCTTGAAACAATTCTGAAACTTTGCATTTGGGCTGAAATCAAATTCCAGTATGAAACCTTTGTACCCTTATACCCCTAGTATCGGTTAGCATCGTTGTTTTTTCCTCAGCACCGCTTTACAATGTTTTGGGGGGCTATAAATTGCAAAGAGCGCTATAAATTGTTGACGTGGCCACGCAATACGCACAGGAACAGCAGGCAGCAGGAAGCGGCTCATGGACTTGTTTCCCGTGTTCAAAAGCAGGTTCGGTCATCAGGAAGAGGAACTCGAGGAGTTGGTGTGAAGATCTGGGCAACTGGGTTGGATTTCGCAGACATGAGTATCTGAGTATCGGTTTGAGTATCGGTTCGGGGCCTCCGGAACCTCGCTTTGGCAACAATTGCCTCGCTTGGCTTCTGGATGAGACAGGGTGTAGCTGAAAAGAACTAAGACTATTCGAACCAATTGCGTCGTCCTGGCTTTTTCCTCAGCATCGGTTTACGATGGTTGGGGTCAAGGGACAGCAGCTAAAGACAAGGTGCGGGGTTCTTATTTCGACCCATTTGGGAGTTCCACTGACATTGTGGGTCTGCTTCAAATGCTCGCGGCAACACATGGTGAAAATGGGCCACATATCCTCCCACCTCCCCCACAAATGCGTTTGTGCACCGCTATATATGTGTTGATTATGCTGTTGCGGGCTCAGTTTGAGGTCCGAGATCAGGACCACTAGCAACGCCATCTATCAGAAACCTGACGCTTGACCTTTTCCAACTTCACACACACCCTCTCTGCCACTTTCCAAGTCACGGTATGCCAAACAATGTTCTGTGACAGAACTCCTCAGCGATTTGGAGACACCAGTTCCTCTCCCTTGCCTCGAGCTGTGCAAGTGGCCACAATCACGGAGCCCTCCTTGAAGGGCCGGCCCTTGATGGGTGCACCATCCTGACACGTGGGTAGAACCCACAGGGTGTGAAAGCGCTTGTGCGGAAAGAGATGCAACATTTGGTTCAAACAAGAAGGCAG